ATTGTTATATGCATGTATTTATGCATAACGTGAGCAGTTCTGAGGTATGAGATGATCTGTGGACGCAGGATCAGCCTTCCAGGACGGACGACAGGATGAACCCCCCCCCCCGACGCCGGCGCCTTCCCCCGGCGCCTGCAAACGACGATGACGACGAAGACCGAACAACGACGGCGATGGGGTCGACGAAGTGTTCCACCCGCCCGCCCGACCGACTCGCCCACTATGACGTCCACGATGTGTCCCGCCCGCCCGCCCGACCGACGGACATGCCCACGACAACGACGACGATGCCGACTACGACTACGACGACGACGACGACGACGACGACGACGACGACGACGACGACGACGACGATGGCAACGTGTCCCGCCCGCCCGCCCGACTGCCAACGACGACGACGTGTCCTGGCTGGAACCAGAGCAGGACGAGGAGGAGAAGGAGGAAGGGGAGGAAGAGGAGGAGGAGGGAGCAGGCAGGAGGTGGGAGTGAGGAGGATAAGGCGGATGAGGAAGATGAGGAGGAGGAGACGGAGGAGAAGGAGGCGAGCGAGCAGAAAGGCCAGAGTTTCTTCGGATGTATCTGAGTTTCTCGAGGGCCTCTTGGAAACCTATTGGAGGCATCTTGGGGGCTTCGTGGGGCCTCCTCAGCGCCTCTTAGGGCCCTCTCGGGGCACTCTTGGGAGCCTCGGGGTCCACCTTGGGGCCATCTTGGAGTAGATCAATCAAAGGACGGGCCATAGTAATTTAGCCCCCCCAAGAGACCAATGCGGTGCAATCATCAGTAACATTAATGATTGCTGTCTCCTCGCCGACGCCTCTTGGGGCGTCTTCGGTGCCTCTGGAGGGCCTCTTGGGAGTCTCTTGAGAGCCTCTTGGGGGCATCTTGGGGGCCTCTTGGGGGCCTCTTGGGGCCTGTTGGGAGCATCTTGGGGGCCTCTTGGGGGCCTCTTAGGGCTTCCAGGGCACACCTCTTGGGCTGACCTGGGGCACCCTCGGGAGCCTCGGGGGCCATCTCGGGGCCAAACGTGGAGGAGCTAGATCAAAGGACGGGCAGTACTCACTTAGAGGGCCCCCCTCTTGAGGCCAACATGTGACCAACACCTTAGTCGGATCAATGATTTGGATATTTTGGCCTTCTGGACGCTCTGACGACCCGCGCACATCCCCCACCCTCCAGACCCAGGGGGAGGGGGGAGGGGGAGGGCAAACCCTTCACCGAAGGGGAAGGAAGGGGTTGGAAGAGGGCGCCCCCTAATCCACTCGCGCCCAGACGACTGGCGGGATTTGCATCGAAGGCGAGCCTGGGAGGGAAGTGAGAAGCAGCGGGCCTTCTCGGAAGGCTCGTAAGTCCCCACGCTTTCTGAGAAGTTTTCTGAGCCTTCCCCGAAGACAGAAAACATTTCAGAGAAGGCCGGCGGACTTCTGAGAAGCCCCGCCAGCTCCTGAGAAGGCCTCGTCCTTCTCCTTCCGCCCCCGTGCTCGCCGTCAGACAGAAAAAAGGAGGAGGATGAGAAGTAGGAGGAGGAGGAGGAGGATAAATTGGAGGAGGAGGAGGAAGAGGACGAAGAAGGACAAGAGGAGGAGGAGGAGGAGGATGTCGAGGACGAGGTGGAGGAGGAGGAGGAGGAGGAGCCTCCAGTGAGCTTGTTGCCCCCGCGCCTCGCCTCGCCGCGGCTCCCCGCCGACCCGGCGCTCGGGCGCTCCTCGACGCCCGCCTTCGCGCCCGCCGCGGGGGGCCGCGGCCGCAGCGCGCCTCGGCTGCGCTGCGCTGCGCGCGCGACGCACGCGGGAGCTCCAGCGCGCTGAGGCGGCCTCGGGGAAGAGTCTCCTCTCCCTTCGCCTCGCTCTCCTCCTCCTCCTCGACCTCCTTCTCCGCCTCTCATCATCATCTTAATCATCATCAGCATCAGCATCATCACCATCATCATCATCATCATCATCATCATCAGCAGCAGCAGCAGCAGCATCATCATACTCAGAATTACCATCATCATCATCATCAGCATCATCAGCGTCATCAGCATAGCCATCATCGTCGTCATCATCATCACCATCATCACCATCAGCATCACCATCATCATCAGCATCATTATTATCGTCGTCGCCTTCGTCATCGGAGTCGTCATTGTCATCGTCATCATAAACATCATCATCAGCATCGTTGTCATCGCCACCACCAGCATCATCATCACCCCACGCATCATCATACCCATCATCAGCATCATCAGCATCAGCATGAACATCACCATCATCAGCATAATCATCCATGCCATCATCATATTACTCATCACTAATATCATCATCATCTTCAGCAGCATCAGTATCTGCATCATCGACATCATAATTATCATCTTCCGCATCAGTCCTGTCAAGTTTGGCAGTGCCCGCCTCATGATTATCATTAGTTCCGTAATCGTCATCGTCATCGTCATCAGCATAAGCAGCATCAGCATCACCATCTTCATCGTCACCATCATCAGCAGCATCAGCATCAGCATCATCATCACCATCACCATCAGCATCAAGATCACCACCGTCATCGGCATCATCGTCATTCTTATCAGCATGTTCGCCACCATCATCATCTTAACCATCAGTAGCATTACCACTATCAGCATCATCATCACCAACATCACCATCACCATCACCATCATCATGAGCATCAGCATCATTCATGCCATCATCATACTACTCATCATCAGCAGCATTAGTTTCAGTATCATCTTCATCATCGCCATCACCATCGACATCTCGTCATTATCATTTCCCTTTTCATCACCTTCAACATCATCATACGCACCATCATCATCATCAGCATCATCAGCATCATCAGCATCATCAGCATCATCCGCATCACCATCACTATTATCATCAGCATCGTCGTCATCGTTTCAGTCGTCGATGCCGTCGTCGTCGTCGTCGTCGTCGTTGTCATCGTCATCATCATCATCATCATCATCATCACCATCATCATCAGCATCATCATCATCATCGTCATCATCATCGCGTTCAGCATTACCAGCCTTGTCCTCACCATCCTCGCCTTCTCCTGCTCCTGCTGCTGCTGCTGCTCCTTCTACTCCCCTTTTCCCCGTCCATTGTGTTCCTGTCGTGCCCCGCCCTCCCCAGGAGCGATCTCGTCAGATGATCGTGTTAGTGTTGAGAAGCCTTCCTAGGGACCACCTGACGGATATGTTCGACTCTAGTCTGGATACAATTCGACTCTTATCCGACTCACGATCGACTCGAGTCGACGAACGTTCGACGCAGCAACGACGCACGAATGGAGCGAGTGGCTCCAGGAAGGTCCCCAGAACTAACATCTAAAACGAGTTCCTGAGGGAGGCGGGCCCTGGAGTTTTATCGCGTTCGGATCCTCGGAGCCCTCTCTGGGCCCCAGGACCGTCCAGACACGGCGGACGAAAGGTTGATCATCCTAAGAGAAGGGTTCGGGTCATGCGGAACGGCTCCCTTGAGGACCCGTCTCCTTGAAGGTTGCGGGGAGGTCGGAGGAGGGGCGGGGGGGGGGCAAATTGGGGAACATCGAGGGGCGGTTCGGGGAGGAGGAGGGACTGGCGAGAGAAGTAGGTGCAGGCTTTGGCCACTTTGGTGTTTCTTCTCTTGCTGCACACGCGCAAAGACAGCCCTGGGCATCCATGAGCGCACGATCCTGCAGAGGGGCATGCCGCGGTAGAGACTGGATCTAGGACGGAGTGCTGCTGCTTGCGCATCAGCGGTTGAATCGTACGGGGCCGTACGGGGACAATTGAGTGTGGCCTTTCGTCGGTGGCGAGCGAGGGTGGGAAATGAGAAGGAGAAGGCCTTCTCAGAAGGCGGCAGGACTTCACTGAAGCCCTCGCGCCTTCTGAGGAGTTTCCTGTGTCTCCGGGGAAGGCTCAGAGAACCTATCAGAGGGCCGGGGTATTTCCGAGCCTTCTGAGAAGGCCCGCCCCGTCTCGCTTCTCCCCCCCCCCTCGCCGCCAACCCCACCAGCCTTCTGGGCGTGAGTGGTTTAGGGAGCTTCCTTTTCCAACCCCCTCTTCCTCCCCTTCGGGGAGGGATTGCCCCTGGGTCTGGAGGGAAAGGGAGGGCACACCCCTCCAATCTCGCCGCGCTCGCCGCCACTCGCCGCCACTCGCCAAACCCCCTCCCCCCCTTGGCCACTTTCCCCCACCCCGCGCTCGCCACTGCTGGTCAGGCGGCCTCCTGCCTCGCGCGGACCGGCCGCGAGGCGGCTGCCGTCGGTCCTCGTGCACCCCCTTCCTTCCCGCACCCGCCCCGCGCGGGAGCGCAGCCGTGCGGCCGCGTGCCCGCGGGATCGCATGCCCGCGGAGTCCAGGCCGCGAGGGGATAGCCCTCGTGCCTTGCCGCACGGGTATAGCCCCCTTGAGGGGAAGCGGATTTGCCCGTGGACGGGCTCTCTTTTTTTTTGGGGGGGGGGAAAAAGAGAGTCCAGGCCGCGAGGGCGCGGGGTGCTGCGGAGTGGGGGGGGGGCGCGCGGGAGCTTGCGGATGCTGCCCGATCGTCCCGACGTCTCGCTTCCGCCCCCGCGCTCGCCTCCCAGGGTGTGCGGGCGTTTTGACAGCGGGCGCATGCAGTGACTTGGCGACCTGGGTGCACCCGGAGTCGTGGTACGATCGCCTCCCTGTTGCCAACAGAGGCTGATGAAGCGAGACGGCCATCCCGGACAGTCGGGTCAATGACATTCTGGCTTGCGTTGGGAAGAGCTAAAGCCTCCTGGAACCCAACGAGACGGCCACCCCTCGGGCCGGACGAAAGGGGGGGATTGGGAAAGGGGGGGTTACGAAATTTGCTGTATGCAGCTGGTTTCGGCACTACCGAGGGGCCCATTCCTCGATACATAGCCGCCTCCGGCGCCAGGAGGCGCCGGGAAAATCAGCTGCGTGAGCTGATTCTCAACCCCCCCCTTTGCTATCCCCCCCTTTCGCCCAACCCGAACCCCCCGCGAGTCCCTCAGGCGGCATCCCCGAGAGAGCCATGGCTGCCGCCGACGGCGCGGCGCTCGGAGCGGCCCCGGCCTGACAGCCCCCACCGCACGGCGCCGTGTGTTGGAGCTTACAGGGAGGGAGCGAGCCTCGCGGGCCAGGCTGCGCTGCCGCGCGAGCTCGCCAGTGCGCCTGGGGGGGGCGGGGAGGGAGGAGGAGGAGGAGGAGGAGGAGGAGGAGGAGGAGGAGGAGGAGGAGGACCAGTGTAAACCCTAGAATCATAAACGATGTTGGAATACATATAACCATCCCTCCAAGCTCCTTCTTCATAGGCCCCTGCAACGGGTCATTTCCATTTCCCGTTTCCCAAATCTTGGAACACGTCTGGCTTGGAAACCATACCATCGTTTGAGTTGCATGTTGTTTAACAGAGCCGTGGTGAAGCGATTCCTGATGTTAGTCGTGATGGCCTACTGGGACATGCCAAGCTTTACATTCGTGCATGGATGAGTGTTTTCATGCCAGGATGTCCATTCATGCGAGTGTCGCTCGTAGCATCATAAGGTTTACGGCTGCCTGTTTTAACAACGAGTCTGCATCAATATTAGTGCAGATGCCCGCGATCGTCACATGGACGCATCATTGTGCACTAGGAACTGCACTTGGATACGATACAGAACCCATTGCCGTGATAACCCGCTGCGCGAATGGAGCCAGACGCCAGGTGCCCTATCGAGGGGGGAATCAGCCCCTTCTCGAGAACCTAGATGCCTATTTGTGGACCCTCCGGCAGAGGTGAGCAGTGCTTGACCCTGCAGTTGCCAGACGCAGGGGGTGTGACACGCCTGCCGAGGTGGTGCAGTTGCGGCGGCGACGTCTTCCTCGACGGCCCTCTGCACTGAACCCTCCTCCTCCTCCTCCTCCTCCTCCTCCTCCTCCTCCTCCTCCTCCTCCCTCCTCCCTCCTCCCTCCTCCCTCCTCCCTCCTCCTCCTCCTCCTCCTCCTCCTCCTCCTCCTCCTCCTCCTCCTCCTCCTCCTCCTCCTCCTCCCTCCCTCCTCCTCCTCCTCCCTCCTCCCTCCTCCCTCCTCCCTCCTCCCTCCTCCTCCTTCCGATCCGCAGGTCGGGATCGGGAGGGGCGCATGCCGGGGAGAGCCCAGGTCCTGCCGCCGCCCCCGCTGCTCGGCGGCGTGCGCCGCTGGCGCTGGACAGCGACAGGGACTTCGCGGGGTTCGTGGGCCGGATGATCCAGGCAGCAGCGGTGGGACTCGCTCTCGGGGACGTCGGGGCTGAGGGACGCGTGCCCTCTGATGTTACAGTCGGGCGTGCCCCTCTACAGGAGGAGCATTCAAGAATAGCTTTAAAACATAGCCAGGGGACGATGTTTTGAGTATTTGTTTGACCATGTTTGGGTATTGTTGGCTGACAAACTTTTTTTCCGCGTGTAGGACCTAATCTTAAACCCTGCCTGGGTGCGTAGCTGAAGAGGAGTGCCGCGGTGCGGTCAGTTGTTGGTTGTTGTCGTCGGCCCACCCGCGACCCACTCCGAGACCCACCCGCGACCCACATAAGAGTCACCCCGCGACCCACCCGCAACCACACACGACTCGCCTCGCGATCCACCCGCGCCCCAATCCCGACCCGACACTGGCCAACCCCCCTATCCACCCACATTGTTTTTACCAGAAAATCGGCGTTTGCGGCAGGCTCGTTTTTGGTGAAGAGATGTACGCTTGCGGCTTTCTGTTTGCAGTTGCTGTCGAGCCTCACACACTGTCGACGACCGCCCCCGTCCCCACACTCTTACCCGCAACTTCGCGGGGGCTGTGGTACAACCGTGGGGCCCTATGCTTGTGGAAGTCGATTGGAAGTCGATTAATGGAGAGGAAGCATGCTGCCAAATAATTTCCAGATGTCTAAAACATGCTCCAAACATGTTTTGAATATGTAAAACATCGTTAGAACATGTATTACACATTTTGAATACATGTTTAATTCAATGATCGGATTGTTATAGTGTCCATTCCTTCTCGCCGCGGGGCGGCCAATCGTATATGAGGCGCCCCGCCATAGCTGCCAGGGACCCCGCAGCATGGCCGATCGTCTGGGGGCCCGTGCGTCGAGTTCTGTGGAATCGCCTCGCGTTCTCCAAGAAGGGGGGGGGGGGTGCGGGGCGCAGATGGGGAGAGGCACAGGTTTTGGTCGGGCATGTCCTCCTACAGGCGGATTTTTCAAGACATATCAAACCTCTTCAGAACATAGTCAAGCACAGTCGAAGAGCGCCCCCAGTCTATTTTTTCACTAGTCTTGAAGATTCCTCCTTTGGAGGGGGCTGCCCGGCTTGAGCATAGGTTGCTGCGACGTGCGGCTTCGCGGAGTGAGTGCTCTGACAGTGAGCGGCACCCGGCCTGTGACGCGCGCAGAGAGCGCGAGACCACACCGCCCTCGCGCCACCGCCGAGCACCGCGCGACCACGAGAGGAGGAAAGGCGCGGGAGGCGGCGGCAGCCTAGCAGCAGCAGCAGCCGCGGCCGCACCAGACTGCGCCGCTCATCTGGCCTTCGTTGGAGAGGAGAGAAGACCGAATCATCAAGAAGAACACAAACAAAATCACAAACTTTTGGCGCCCCGCGGGGACTTCTCGGATTCGCGCCTGGGGCCCCCCCGGCGGCGCCTCCGGCGCCGCCCCTGGCGCGCTCCGCGCGCCAGGGAGGGGGGGTCCAGCGCGGATCCAAGAAATCCGCGCGGAGCGCCCAAAGTTTGGTCTTATTTCTTCCTTTCTTCTAGGGGAGAGTGGCGGAGTCAGCCAGGGAGGGGCCGCGGAGGGGCGAAGGAGGAGCGCAGGGCCATGGGAAGGAAGACCGCCCACCCCCCCTCTGAGCAGAAGAAGGGGGCCCGCCGCCCTTCGCGGGCAGTCGCGCCGTCGGGGCGGGGGACGGGTGGACGGGGGGACGCGGCTCCCGCGATCGCAAGCATGGATCAATGGGGGCGTGGCTTAGCGACGGGTCCCGCTCCCATGGGAAATTGTGCATTTCCGCCGCCGAGCGAGGCGGCACCGGCCGCATTTTGGGGAGAGCGCCTCCCCCGATCCACGGATTTGGCGACCGCGCGCCAAATCCATGGATCGCTCATCAATGCTTGCGCGCCCCCGAGCCGCCCAGGGGGCGACGCATCGACCCCCCAGCGCACATGCATCGCCGACCTGTGAGCTCAAGAACCCCCACCCTGCCCAGGAGCGCGAGCGCTTGCTACAATATCGGGTGCCTCTCACCGATGTGCTGGCGGCGCGTCGCCGGTTCCAGGCCGACGCTGCTCCCCCCGAGCCAGAGACGCCCCCCCCTGCGGCGCGCGCAAAGATGGGCTGCGCAGGAAGAGGGGGGCGCGGGAGCGGCCGTCTGTGAAGCCTTCTTGGAAGCTCCCGGCTCCTCTCAGAGCCCCCCTCCTGCTGCTCTCTTCTGAGGTGAAGTCGGGCGTGACCCTCCACAGGAGGAGTATCCAAAAATAGTATAAATAGTGGGGGGGCGATGTTGGGGCATTTTTTGACAATGGTTGAGTTTTTGTTTGACATGTTTGATTCTTCGTTCAAAATCCGCCTGTGGGGTGACATGCCCGACCTACTATTCTAATCAGGAGGGAAAAAACACACAGACACAATTAATCGGCGATTCCCTAGAAATTATGGGAAAATATGGGAAATGGGGGGGAAGACAAAAGCCCAGATCCAGAAACTATAAGAAAATATGGGGAATAGTTTTATTTGTGTGCATTCCATGCCCGACCTACTGTTCTGAGGCCGCCCCTCTCGCGCCACCCCTCCCCGTGCGCCGCCGACCCCGCTCGGGCCCAGCCCGATCCGGCAGGCAGGCCACGCCGCGCCGGACCCCAGAGCGCGAGGGCGTCCACTGCCGAGCGCCGCCGGTGCACTGCCGAACGCCGCCGTCCACTGGCCCCAGCAGCTTGCAGTCCCCACCCCTGGTGCCCCAGGTCAGCTTCAGCCAGCTGCCCACCCAGCGGTAGGTTCTGATCGCGCGCTCGGTATCGCGCCTTTGCTTGCTTGTCGCTGTATAATTTGTAGGGGCCGCGCCCCGGACTTACTTACGACGCCGCCTGCGCTTTCGCTTGCGGCTGCGACAAAAAAGGGCGCAGTCGGGAGAAGTGTGTAGGGGGCCACATGCGAAGCCTGCCTCTGCCCCCCCACGATTTCTGAGGCCCAGGGTGGGGTTCACTTCGTGGGGGGTATCGCAGTAGGGTTCGCATGTGGGCCCCCCAAGAAGGGCGACGCTGCAGCACGCTGTGAGTGTGCTCGCAGGGAGGGCCTCGGAGCGAGCCAGGTGCTCCACTCCGCGCTCCTGCGCCGCGCGTTGTGCCCCCGCGCTCCCGCAGAATCAGCCGACATGGAAGGGCCTGCGCAATCGGAGAGCCGCCATCGCTTGAGGGTTGAACGGGCGGAGCTTCCCAGAGGGCTCGGAAGGCCTCCGGCCTTCCGAGAAGCTGTCCGTGTGCTCTCCGGAGCCCCGCCGCCTTTGAGAAGGCCTGCCCCGCTCGAGATTGTTTTTGGTATCCTCTGGCGCGCAACGGTCGTTACCCGCCCTCCCCCCCGCGCCGTGTAACAGTCACGATCGTACGTATGGGGGCAGGCTGCGGCGCAGCCCAGCTGTGGTGATATGCAGTCACTGCGGTTGGAGGCACTCGCTGTTGCTGACCCAAGACGGCCCAAGGGGCTCAAAAAAGAAGAAGTACGTATGGGGGCAGGCTTGCACCCACCCTATACACCACCTGTTGGTGCTCGCGTGCGTGCTATGGCGATCGTAGCGCACCCCCGCCCCGACTCGGCCCGCCCAGCCCAAGCCGACAAAACGGACCACGACTGGACAACGACAACAACCGATATGTGGCACCGACAAGAGGTTCCCCCCCCACCGGAGCAACCCGCAATTGCAGATAGGAGTGAAAGGGCTGGTGCGGGGTGGGTCGCGGGTGGGTGCCAGGCGGGTCGCCGGTGGGTCGCGGGGTGTGTCGCGGGCGGGTCGCGTGTGGGTCGCGGCGCGGGGTGTATCGCGGGCGGGTCGCGGGTGGGTCGCGGGCCTGGTCGCGAGCGGGGCGACACCCCTAAGAACAAAACATATAGACAGCATCAACAACAACCACAACAACAACAATCATTTTACCCGAACGCGTGGTGTTCTCCCCAGTGCCAGGGTTTTCATACGACACCAGGCAATACCCCCACTTCGTTGGGGGGCATTACAAGCTCTACCAAATATCCAAACGACTCTTCGCGACCACCCAAACCCAGCTTCCCGCCCTATGACGTTGGGACACTTCACTTCGTGGCGTGCGGACGACCGTGGCTACTACACTGGCGTGGGGTACACACCCACAGAACTTGGTCACTTATTCGGGGCGCGCATGTGCCCAGCATGGTGCAATTGTGCCATACAATACATAATACAGAGAGACGAATGTGTCCCGCATGGTATTATTTGACAGGGATGATGGCCCTGGCAGGTGCGCAACCGTTGTCGCAGAAGTTCGAAAAAGTTGCTCGCAAAAGCCCGTTTGACAGAAATGTTTAAAAAGTGTTGGTTTTCCTACGAATCCGCAAGAGCGCGCGGGATGAGATTTTGACATTTTTTTGTTGAAAAACCATTGGTTTTTTGATGTTTTTATGTTAAAATCGCTCCGAACACTAAGCTTTTGGAAGGATTTCGTCTTGCGCGCGCGAATGTCCACTTTACCTTATTTTTTGCAAGGGATTCTTGAAATTTGATTATATTAGAACAAGAAATGTCATTTTATAGTGTTTTTTGCAAGGGAAAACGGATTACAACAAAACAACCGGATCTTGATCAACTCGAATTACTTGAGGCTTCCTCACGAAAATGATGAAAACGTGGCTGCGGCCTAGGCGCGGCGGGGGGGGCGCGCACCAGGGGGCCCAACAATAATTATTCTTTAGAATTAATAATGTTTCAGTTCAATGCTGTTCGGTTCGATGTTATCTGTTCGCGTGCCATTCAACACGTATATCTCAAACCCTCGCCCTCTTCGTCTTCGATCGTACCCCCCTCGGGGCCATATCTCCCCCATCTGCCGCGTGTAGTTGGCGCAACCCCTAGAGCATGGGAAAGAAGGGATGAGGCAAAAGACAAGGGGGATGGAGAAGGATGGAGCACGCGAGAGATTTGCAGGAAAAAGGTTTGAATCAGAAGTACAACTGGAAGAACCTGACGGGCGGGTCGGGCGGGCGGACCCCCACGGGCAGGTTGGGCGGGCGGGCCCAGACGGCCAGGTCGAGCGTGTGGGTCGTTGAAGCGTCAGCCTATCATGAAGGAAGTGGTGAGCGATAGCACGAATCCCAAGTAAATCGTTCGGAAATCCGAAGCGAAAGCGTGGTTCCTGAGTCTTGGCGGCACTGCGCCGCAGTAGATGGTGAGGAAGTGCCGCGCGAGAGCGCGATTCCTGCATGACTTGTGATGACGTCGCGATCCCCAACAATTTGTGAGATAGTATCAGGCGAGAGTCGTTGTTGTTGTTGTTGTTGTTGTTGTTGCTGTTGTAACCCTGGGGCCAGGGGGCCAGTTTGAACACCAAGATTGTTCATTAGAGCAAGTATGGTGCGAGCCATGGGAGCAGCACTTCAATTGAAAAGCAATGTGCGTCGGGCGAGGGAGGTCAGCAATAGTTGATTTGTTCAAATGATTATCAAACAGCAGCACCAGCAACAACAGCAGTGGCACGAACAAGCATCATGTTAAGTTTGTTCGCTCTTATATGCTCGTGTGCCACTCAACGCATATATCCCAAACCTTCGATACCCGCCCTCTTCGTCTTCGATCGTACCCCCCGTTCGGGGTGCGTCTCTCTTACCTGCAACGCGTATTTCGTGCAGCCCCGAAGGCAGGGGAAGAGAGGACGGATGGAAGGAAGGGACAAGGGGGAGGGAGGAGGATGCAGCACGAAAGAAAGTAGCAGGAGTGGGGCTAGTAGCATAATGCATGTGGCAGAACCAGACGGCCAGATCGGGCGGGTAGACCCTGACGGGCGGGTAGGGAAGGCGGGTCCATGCGGCCAGGTCGAGCAGGAGGGTTGTTGAAGCGTGCGTCCTGCATGAAGTGCGAGGAAGTCTAGAGCTGTCATCATGATAAATCCACAGCGAGAGCGTGAATCCTGAGTGTCGAGGGCGCGGCGCCTGAATAAATTGCGAGGAGGTCCCACACGAGAGCGCGATTCCTGTATAATGTGTGAGGATGTCCCGCGCGAGAGCGCGACTTGGGAATACATCGTGAGGATGTATCAGGCGGGAACCGCTGTTGAAGTAAACCTGGGAGCAGGGGCAAAGTTTGGTGACCCCATCGCGTTTTTTTTGATAAGAAAAGGTGCGAGCCCCGTACGGAGCATTTCAATGGGAAATACAACGGCCACCGGAGGGGGGGGATCCACAAAACAGATTTCGAGGCATGATGCTTCAACACTGGCCACGCAACAACAGTCCGCACCGCGGAACCCCACTTCAGCTACGCACGCAGGGGCAGCGAATGCCCGCTCGGCCCCGGCACTCCGATCTTAAGAATAGCACTGAAAACATCGTGCTCGCAGATCCACCCTCTGGCGCGCCGCCGAGTCAGGGCCTGGCGCAGGCACGCCGCAACGCCACGAGCTCTGCTGTTGACCTGGTCGCCGCCCGCCGCGGCGGGCTCCTGCGGCTTCACCGTCACCTCGCCGGAGGACGCCAGACTCCCTCGAGTCGTGGAAAGATCGGCCTGTTGTGGCGATTCCTGCCCCCTCCTCCTCCTCCTCCTCCTCCTCCTCCTCCTCCTCCTCCTCCTCCTCCTATCCTCCTCCTCCTCCTCCTCCTCCTCCTCCTCCTATTCCTCCTCCTATTCCTCCTCCTCCTCTCCTCCTCCCCCTCCTCCTCCTCCTCCTCCTCCTCCTCCTCCTCCTCCTCCTGCTCCTCCTCCTGCTCCTTCTCCTTTTCCTCCTCCTCCTCCTCCTCCTCCTCCTCCTCCTCCTCCCTGTCCTCTTGCCGCCCGCCTTTCCCATCCTCTCGTCGAGGGCTCCGCGCGGGAGCGCTTCTCCGACGACCAGCTCGACCTCGCCTCCACGAGGGCGGCGCACCGGCGCGTGCACCTGGCGCTGCGGGAGCCCCCCCCGGGGGCCCGTCCGCGTCGTCGTCGGAGCCGTGGACGTCGACGTCGGCGTCGTCGTCGCGGGGGGGGAGGAGGGAGAAGGGATGACACGGGATCGAATCATGACATAAACATAAAAACTCGGAGGTGCGCGCGGATTGCGCTGGACCCCCCCGGCGGCGGCGCGCTCCGCTCGCCAAGGGGGGCGGTCCAACGCCGATCCGAGAAATCCGCTCGGACCTCCGAGTTGTTATGTTTATGCCACTGTTTGGTTCCCAAGAGAAGCAAAGGAAGAGAGATGGGGAGGAGGAGGGCAGCTTAGGGCTACCGGTAGACGGGGAGCGCGGGCGCATCCCACCCAGACGTCAGGATTACTGGTGCGGGACGGTTTGCCAGGGCACTGAAAGAGTTGTGGCGGAAACCAGCAGCTGTCCGTGCGCATCTTGAGCACGGCTCGGTTTCGGCGTCGGCGTGGACCTTGTCAGTTGGAAACGGAATGTCGCTTGCCCAGCAGCGGCCTTTGTCTAGTTTGTTGACGAAGTTTGTTTTTTTGGCATCGCGCCCGCTTTCCGTACCTTACTCCGTTGCGCCAGTCTTCCTGTTCTTCTTCCTCCTCGTCCTCCACCTCCTTTTTTCTTCCTCTTTCCCTTTTCTTCCTCATTTACCTTCCAACTTTTCTCGCTCGACCATTTTGCCAAAGGGAGAAATTCTCAGCGCACCCGCGCCGCACAGACCCGTTTTCGACAGCATCGGCGCATCCATGCGCAAGCAGCTGACGCCTGTGGTTGGCGCTGCGCTGAATACGTTTGGATACAACGATATCGCTCGTTGTCGGCGAACGGGGCCACGAACAAGGTCCTATATCAAAGTATCGTTTAATATTACGAAATAGTGTTGTCATGTGGAAACCAACCTGTTGGCTGTAAAGCCAATGGAATGCTTCGAATCAGGGCGGATGGACGTACCATACTGGAGGCAGCGCACCAACCAGGACCGCCCACGGCGTCTGCGACGGGGTGCTCGGTCATAGTTCGAAATGGAAATTTCGGACAAACATGTGAGGCAGGCGCGGGCACCCCCCAAACAGCTTGTTGACAGAGTGCTGGTGGTGCGATGGCAAAACGGCGTCATGGACGTACCATACGGAGTGGTTTGCTAGACCCCGCAGCCGCTACAACGACAATGCCCTGTATATCGAAACGGTAACAGACCTGACAAAATGATGTCGTTCGGTTTAACATTTCTTCTTCCGTATCGCGCGGTGCATATCCTGCATGCGGACGTCAATGATGGGATTGGTGGACAGGCCAAAGCTGGAATGTGGACGGGGCCCGCATGCCACTTTCAATGCGCGAGCGGCGCGCGCGAACGGAGGCTCTGCTGCTTTGGTGAATCAGTTGGACATTTGCTGGTGGAACAAGATGAGATCATCGATTTCACACGGTCCACGTGCCAACGCGCGGTGGTCGCCGAACACGCCGTCCACATGCAACATGGTAGACATGTCACATCGTAGGGGGCCTTTGCGGTAACCTACAGGCAGTCCACGGCATCCTTTCGAGGAGTCATATCCCATTGCTAACAGATCTCAAGAATGGAAAGACTGGTGGCGAGCTACCACCTGCTCTACCACGTCGGCTCAACGGAGATGCGACGATGGCGGCTTCGCGGCGACGGCGAAGCTGAGTTTCCAAGGAACGTTGTTCAACAGCTGGCAGAACATGAAGAACAGTTTCGAGCTTTCGAATCGAAACGCACCTGGCGCCCTTTGGGAAGCGGCGGAGGCCGCCTCGTGCACGACAGGCGCTCGCCATTTTCAACGCGCCCCGCTCGCCCGCCTCCCCAACCACTTGGAGTGCGCTGAGCGACGGCGGCAACTGGGGGCAAGGGCTGCGTTGAAGGGGCTCGCTGGCGATAGAGCAGTCCGGCTACAGCGGCTTCGTCCGTCTGGTTGGAGGAAGTAGGGCCCCCGGCCACTGAGGGGGGCGGCGCGGAGTGCGCCGCCACGCTTGCCGTCGGCGAGATGGCGTAGCTGAGTGGTCGGCCTCCCCGCGCCCTCCTCCGCTGGGGCTATTTCGAGGTCGGCGGGCTTGCAGGGCGACTCGGGCGCCGTGGAACTTTGGGGATGCCAGGCTTCGAGGAGGAGGGCCAGGCTGTGCAGCTGCATGAGACTGGGGCGATGCTGCAGGAGTTATCGCGCGGGCTCCAACAGCAGCAACGGCGCTCCAGACTGGAAGCCAAAGAGGTCTTCGTCCGGCAGGTAAGAGAAACGCGGCAAGGAAGACGCGCGCATGAGGCAGCCGGGCTCTCGAGACAAGCAGCTCGATGCACAGTCGGGGCGCGTCGCTCATGGAAGCAGGCACGGCGTCGCTCTTCCGAGTGAGGAGGTTTGGTCAGACACATGGAAACGCGGGGGAGGGGAGGGGGGCACGCGCGTGGGCGACTTTGACTGGAGGCAGGCGCGCAATCGGAAGCACGAGCATCCCCCGCCAGTTGCGCCGAGCCGGGCAGCGGGCGAACGCGGCCACCGAGCTCCCGAGGATTGCACCAAGCTGCTGCTGCTGCTGCTGCTGCTATATTTTCGGAAGACGACGAAGCGATGCTCTGGGTCACTGGCACCGCGCCCGCCGAGTTGTGGCGCAGTAGAAGAGACGCAGTAGGAGTGGAGAGCTGACTGATGACGGGCCCCGCTGTGTCGCGCACGACAAGCATGGAACCCTTCGAAAAGCCCCGCGGCGCGGGGCGCGGGCCTGCCAAAGGCAGCTCAAAACAAGTGCTCCGGGCAAGAGGGGCACCGGCCCGCTCACTGGCGCTTATCAGCAATGGAGCTCCGGGCCACGGTTCTCGACCACGGCGCCGCCGCAGAGGCGCGGCTTCGCCGGGCGCGCGAGACGGGGGGTGGCTTTCCTGATCGCGCAGCGGTCGCCGTTGAGAATTCGGAACACAGCAGAACAGTGATAAGCAGGTCACGAGTTTCTTTTCCCGCGGCCCCTTTTGTCGCGGCCAGCGCGCAGTGGGCGGGCGAGGCAGGCTTCGTTGCTGGCGCCGTGGCAGACGCGGCCGGGCGCCCCGGGCCCGCCGCCGCGCGAGCGCAGCCGACCGCGAGTTGGTGGGAGAGCAGAATCGCGGCCACGGGCTAATCCTTCTACAATTTGGGCGGCGCCTCGTCGCTGCGACTGCCGCGGCGCTGGAAGAGCGCGCCTGCTTCGTCTTTGGTCAACTGCCGTCTGCCATGGGGGGTCGCGACCGGCGGAGGAGCTCCCTGGGCGGGCGAAGAGCTCCCGCAGATATTGTCGCGTGCTCAGGTGCGTGTTTTTTTGGCGAGTCGCTGCTCGTTCAGTGGGGCCGCGTGCAAAGCGACTGTCGCCGCGTCGGTCGCGCTCGCTTCATCCCGTAATGGGCGGTCGGATTTGGGCCGTCCAGTCCCCCCCTTTGGATTTCGAATCCGATGATGGTGGGCCGCGCTCGCTTCGCGCGGGCCCCGCATCGCGCGCATCGCCGCGGGCGCTTCAGATGCGTTTGAACACGTTGGCCACGATGACCGTCGACTCGGATCGCGCGGGGTCGCTCCTTGCGCGCGCGCCGCGGGGGCTGTTGCGGGAGGGCGGGTGGGGCGGGGGCGCGGGAGTTCGCGCGCGCGGATGTCAGCGCATCTCGAGCATCATTTTTCTCGCCCGCCATCGCGCCCCGGGGGCCGCGCAGGATAGCGGGGGGGGGGCGAGATGGTCGCGCAGGTGACAGCAACGTCCGCGCGCGCGCTCGAGGGGCGGGGTCGCTCTCAGCGGGCGCAGTCTCCGCGTGCGCGAAATTACCCGCGCGCGCGTCGCGCGCGTCGCGCGCCAAGGGGGCAGCGCCGCGCAGGCCATTGCCGGCCGTTGCCTGCCGGGCGCCTCCTCTCCGACGCAGGCGCCGTCCAGGAGGGGCGTCGCAAAGGGGGCCCGTTCGGCAAGCCGGATTGGAATTACCCCAGAGCGACCCGACCTAGGAGTTGGAGCCCCGAGGAGAGCAATATTTGTAGTAACGGTAAACGCCGTCCTCCTCCTTCTCCTCATCGTCGCAGTTGTAGCAGTAGCGGTAGTAGTAGTAGTAGTAGTAGTAGTAGTAGTAGTAGTAGTAGTAGTAGTAGTAGTAGTAGTAGTAGTAGTAGTAGTAGTAGTAGTAGTAGTAGTAGTAGTAGTAGTAGTAGTAGTAGTAGTAGTAGTAGTAGTAGTAGTAGTAGTAGTAGTAGTAGTAGTAGTAGTAGTAGTAGTAGTAGTAGTAGTAGTAGTAGTAGTAGTAGTAGTAGCAGTAGTAGTAGTAGTAGTAGTAGTAGTAGTAGTAGTAGTAGTAGTAGTAGTAGTAGTAGTAGTAGTAGTAGTAGTAGTAGTAGTAGTAGTAGTAGTAGTAGTAGTAGTAGTAGTAGTAGTAGTAGTAGTAGTAGTAGTAGTAGTAGTAGTAGTAGTAGTAGTAGTAGTAGTAGTAGTAGTAGTAGCAGTAGCAGTAGTAGTAGTTGGAGCCCCGAGGAGAGCAATATTTGTAGTAACGGTAAACGCCGTCCTCCTCCTCCTCGTCGTCGCAGTTGTAGCAGTAGCGGTAGTAGTAGTAATAGTAGTAGTAGTAGTAGCAGTAGTAGTAGTAGTAGTAGTAGTAGTAGTAGTAGTAGTAGCAGTAGTAGTAGTGGTAGTAGCCATAGTAGTAGTAGTAGTAGTAGTAGTAGTAGTAGTAGTAGTAGTAGTAGTAGTAGTAGTTGTTGTTGTAGCAGTAGTAGTAGTAGCAGTAGTAGTAGTAGTAGTAGTAGTAGTCGTACAGCGTAATACCTACATCTACATCTAGACCCACATCCACATCTACACCTACAGCTACATCTACATGTACACATGCATATACATATACATCTACATATGCATCAACATCTGCATCTACATCTACATCTACATCTACAGCTACATCTACATCTACATCTACATCTACATATACACTCACATCTACATCTACATCTACACCTACATCTACACCTACATGTACTTCTACATC